GGAGGGGGTAGGGGAAAGGGTAAGGATGTTTGAAGGAACAACGACAGCAACAAACATTTGCAATATTTAGTCGCTATCTAAGAAAATCTTTAGAGCCGAAATATCGAAATAGGCTTTCACCAGAAAGATGATGCAAATGTGATAAATTGATGAAGTCATCATTTCAAGTTCCTAAAATGTTATCGAAGACGGAACGACTTTACTAACACACAAGACGAGAACAAGAGAAAATCTCGCGCCAGCCACTGAGATCGAGAATTTTTAGCTGTATACAGATGAAATATCAAGAATTATTGAAATTAATCGAAGAAAAAAAAACAAAAACAAAAATAACATGTAACAAAATCTCATGTAAACGTAAATCACAATAGCTCAAAACAAAGGAAGAAAGAAGACAAACTACCTCGTAAAAATGTTTTCTTAGTAGCAATCAAACATTCAAAGACATTAAGATTTAGATGTCTCAATTCAGTAAACTGTAATTATCCCTTCTGACCCTATTGTAACCTTATTCAAGCCAATGAATAATTCGACTTTACGCTCATCACTTCAAAAATTTCATAACAACTCGTAGACCGACATGCACGTACATCAAAATCAATCGACTCTGCGTTTAAACGATAGAGTAAGTTGACTAACCTTGCTGGATGAGTTATCTCAAATGTCTAGCACCGTCACACTTTTAAACCTTTTAATTATTTTGTGATGACGAACGCAGGAATCTACAGGAGAATAAAGATTGCAGTTGGAATTTGACTACGAATATTATTACTAGTAGGATGGCACACATATTAACTTTATGATTACAGGGAATATCCCCGCTACAGACTTTATGCACAAGAGCTATAGCGTAGTAGAGGTCACCCATAAACAAGAACAAATGCTTACACTGTTAGCCATTACAGAACTTCACGAAACATGCTGGTTATATGACTGACAGAGGCTAATTAACTTCCATTCAAAATCATCGGTTTAAAATTCTTGCCCGTTTTTCTTTTTTTTTTTTTTTTTTTCTGAACATCCCCTTGACCGCATGTACGTACTTCTGTTGGTAAACAGATGAAGAAAACAGAAAGATCTCTCTGGCTAAACTTCTGAGCAAAAGACAAGTACAGAAAGCACCATTGATAGTTTGAAAAGTGTATAGTATTCCTGGTTACAATAATGGCGGAATGTTCGACTGAGTCTTTTACTTCAAGACCGCACAACAATATTCAAATCAAAATTTCACAAAGGCTGTAACCCACGCCGGGCGATTTCGAATTCTATTCGGAAGGTTGCCAAATATGGAAAATTTGTTTAAAATTTCTTTCGCAATACGAATCCTATAAACATTGCAACATTTTACACAGGCTACTTTAGATACAAGCACAAGTTATGCACTTGCCGTTTTATGGAATAGATGGTGATCTCAAAACTTCAAGTAAGGTCAGTTCTAAGTTCCATCATCGAGTATCTCGCACGGGGATTTTCCCTGTCTTTTCCAGCAGCATGATTTTCACTAAGTCCTTACATGATCTCCACGGATTGCAACCATTTTGCAATCTTTGACTAACGTTCTTGTTGTATTAAACAGAAGCACCGGTTATTTTGTTGCATCTCTGAGCACGATTTTCAAAGCTTAATTCCCCCACACACTTTCCAGTATCTTGAACATCCTTTCATTCCGAAGAACGCAACTGGTTTCCATCATCCTCGACACAAGCGAATGAAGTGATCCAAAAGGCGACCGTCGTGTCAATAAAAGACGAATATAATTATTCTGTTTGAAATGCAATCACAGAGGGTTCAAAGTATACAATGTGACGCGGGTTCAAAGTACAAGATGCATTGTGCGTGTTCTGAAGTGGCATGATGTCTATGTCATGGACAATGCTAATATTCACCCGTAATTCTTGTTTTGACCAATGAACGTTGGAGTATTGATCTTTACTTTTATTACTTTATGAAAGTTCCGAGACTCATTTAATTAATTGTCTTTCTTTTTTATTTTGCAGAGATTTGAAAAACTAGCACAAAGATGTCGTTCACATTGGGAGCCACTCTTATTCTGCTCTTTTCTATCTATGGCCTTTGCTACGGCCGTAAGTTTTCCTTCTATACTTATTTGTTTTGGGTTGATGAAATAAAACGAAATTTCTTCGAGGATTTTATATTGTATCGGAAAAAAATGTATCAGTCTCAGGGTGAAAAGGGGAGGTTGACCCTGTTTCTTACGCTTTGTTTTATTTTCTTGAATAAGAAGTAGAAGGATTTAAGCTAATAACGTCACCTAAACTTAAAAGAAAACATGTTTATTCGACAAAACTCGTATAATACGGGTGAGAAAACAGCCGCTAATGAGGTTCCAATGTCTGTTATACTGGAAAAGTTGCAGCGAAGGAATAAAGCGGGATGATCATACTGTGTATTATATCACACATCACTGAAAATTAACATACACGTGCACGACTCAACTGGTTATTCATGAAGAATGCGTGAAAATACTTCAGAGCAATAGTCAGAGCATATACTGTAGCCCAGTAAACTGGGTAGTTTACACATTTGTCATTTTTTTTTGAAAATTAGCTGTTTCATTCTTTTAGTCCATGCTGACACAAAGTTTACCAAGACACCTCCAGTCACAACCAGCGTTGCTGTGAATGGTTCAGTAACGTTTACCTGGGAGTTTGAGTTTGGAAACGATCAGGACTGGGCTAACTTTGATGAGTTTGTCTGGGGGACAGTTGACAGCGGCCACATAGCTAACAAATACATCACCGTCTCTGGGTCAAGTATGTCCGATATCAAGTTCAATCCTAGCCTTCCACGTAGTCTTCTCGGTCGGATTACTTACTCTGGTAGCATTAGCTCAAGTGGGTGCACATTGAATTTCCAAATACTGGACGTGCAGACATCGGATGGAGAGGTCTCTTATGGCTGCGATGTTGACATTGCAGGAGAAGAAAGAATCAGTCAACCATTTCATTTAACAGTTTCGTGATGGTAAGTATTGTTACCCACTTAAGCTATCATTTAAGCGCATATTTAAAGATCATTTTTGGGTAGGATGCAGTACTCTAACAGCTTCTTTCCCCCCTCCCCACACCCACTAAAGAGTATAAATGGACGCCGCAGATCTATCAAGGAAACTTAACAAACAACTTGCAATGCACTAGCATCCCGTCCGGGCTAGCTCCGTCGTCGTGGGCCGTTTGGCATACGAGCAGACTTCATCGTTTATTTCTTTGAAAGACTGTTAATAGGGACAGAAGCTAGAAGATGGCAGACAAATGTAAATTACATACCGAAAATGGACCGCTAGAGTATGGCCGGGTGAAATAATATGCATCATATACACATTAAGATGCATAATATGCCTTGGTTTGGTCGTAAACTGGCAAAGGAACCAAACTTTGGAGCCAATTAGGAGAGGACCACGTAGAGTTAGTGTCTAGTAGCATTTTGCATCTTTGATGAGTTTTGAAATTTTTTATGGATAATTGAAAATTAAGTTTACGTTGCAATTAATCATATTGCAGAACTCTCGGGAAGCATGCGCGCTGTTTAAGTGGGCCACAAAAGGTGATTTTCCTTTCTTGAAATGGAGGGATCTTGCTCTATTTCATGTTTGGCAATTATAAAATGGCCTCTCGTAATCTGACAGTTCGCATGTTGTTCAAAGGCGTCATAAAAAGTCCAAATGTTAAATGCCAAACCTGTCTAACTAGAGTCATTTTGAAGTCATGAATTCTACTTTTTTTTTGCAGGCGAATAACCAAGCAAATAGCCAAGCTGGTTCCGGATTTTCTGGTGATCCAGTCCAAGTGCATGTTCATACTTTACCCATTGCTGTCAATTATTGTAGAGACAACACGACTTCGATTACGATGAAATATTTTTTTCTTCTTCTTTTTTTCCTAGCAATTCGGGCTTCTTTTTCATTTTGCAGTAATGGGCAACACGTGACCTTGTAAAGTAAGATTTTACAAAAACATATAATACAACTGTATCATAGTTGAACAACCAGATATTTGCAAGTTGTAGATAAAAATTAGGTTTTCTTTCGTTGAATTTCTCACCGTCCATGGTGACAAGCCACGTGTTTGTTTGTTAATCTTTATAAACAAACCGATTATCTTCAAAATATACCCGTTGGATCTAAACAGACACCCTGAGGAGTAAGTGGAAATGCCTCAGAATTTTGAGAAATCATTTAATTTAATTTGTAGTTAAATATCATGTAAATTACAATAAACATTTATTGCAAATTTGGTGCAACATTAATAAATAGTCTAAGTCAAACAAGAATGGCTTTTTTAGCTACTATTGCATGTTTAACTAATGCCAGATTTCTTTTTACAAACTCAACAGCTTCAGTAGGTTTGCCAGTTAAAATTCAAAATGATTCAACTGTGCCAAGGTTCTGACAAGAAAGGATAAAGTTTATCCTCTCTTGGTTTTGGTTGAGGGAGTCAGTATGGCAAATTCACTACGCCTTTCAAAGTACCTACTCGCCAGAATCAGGACTGAATAGTTAGTGTAAAGGACACCCCAAACTAATTCCCATGGTTTCAATGTTAAATCGTTATTTTCCATGCTTTTCTGTCTCGAAAATAAGTTTGCTTATGTTCATTTTATTCAAGATATGATTACATAGGAAAGCCTGTTGGTGTGCCCTTTTTTTCGTGATCGTGGACAAAACATCTCAAATGTTTTCGTAGAGCTGATGAAACATAAGGAGGTTTCCCTGTTTGTAGCTCTTCAAAACAAAGATGAATGAAGAATTAGCAAAATATTGGATTGCTGAACAATGTGGAGATAAATCGACCTATTAAAGTCGGTAACAATTGATGAATCAATCAGTCCACCAATCTATGAATTAGATCAATTAAGTCAAAGGAATAAATCAATAAGTAGATTAAGAAAGCAGCCGATGAGATAAAGATAGATTATATCTTCAATCAAACAATCCACAAATCAGTCCATCGATCAAAATCAGTCAGTCACTCAGTCTAAATAACGAAAGCAGTAATATGATCATGATGTCCTTTTGTTCCAACCTTTTCTTGTTTCCAAACACAGAAGATTACCTTCGACCCAACATTTCGTCTGGAACTCGAAATAAAAGACTCGAGGTCGTGTCAACGGTTCCCATCCCACAATTTAAGTCAGCTGTTTGAAGATCCGTAATTACTAAAAGAAGGAATGACCTAAAACCATCTAAAACCACCACCTAAAACCACCTTCAGAATACTATTGGGTGACAATTTAAATGCACACCAGAAATGTTGTCGCATGTCATTACCAGGGAAAAACACCAAGAGAATTTTTTACACGTAGTTACTGAAACAAGGAATGACCAACGACCTACAATGAGCTACTGTGCTAACAAGGAATGACCTAAAATGATCTACAATGATTTAGAATGACCTGCAATGAGCTACAATGATCGACAAGGAGCTATTATGAGTGTTACGAAAAATTGTGGTGTGACTTTCTAGCTCCATGATGGTGTGATGTCTTTTTTGTTTTGCTGTCTAAAATATCAATGAGTTAAAGGTGTTGGCAGGCCAAATACATCTCATAGTCTCGCGGCGCTGTGATAAGTGACCTTATTGATGGTTTGATCCGAAAATATCAATGAGTAAAAGGTATTGACTGGCCAAATACGACTCATAGCCTCTCATGATAGTGTAAAATTATGGGAGGCTTGTTATATAAGACCCTCAAAGACATCTTAAGCAAAGGTTTTTCGCATTCTATTATCATTATCGTCATTGGACATGTCTCATTATGATAGACCGTAAATTTATCTCCAAGCTAGAAATTCTGTTATCATTTGGCCTGTTATTCAGTAGACAAAAAGCAAACACGTTACGTTAATGCACAAGTCTCCTGTTTTTTGTTTTTTGTTTGCCTTTTTTCTAAAATCTTCATTTACTTCATTGCAGGGGTCTTACAGTAGCTCATTGTAGGTAATGACATGCGACAACATTTCCGGTGTGTATTTAAATTGTCACAAATTGTCACCCAATAGTATTCTGAAGGTGGTTGTAGGTGGTTTTAGATGGTTTTAGGTGGTGGTTGTAGGTGGTTTTAGATGGTTGTAGGTGGTTTTAGGCCATTCCTTCTTTTAGTAATTTCGTCTGAACATCTATTCTCTTGTATATTTGAGAGCACCTCTGTCTTGTTTAAGTGATATATAAAAATTGGTTTTGTCTTGAAAGGCTCCATGGACTATCAAAAGGAAATCATTCTACAACGCACCTTTATGCGAAAATTGATTCTGCCACGTGGAAAGTAATATTTTGTGTGAGCTGCTGTTTTGGTCTTGTTTTATGAGAGTAAATTTTGATAGCTCACAGGCATCTGCTCTCTAAAATGGTTGCGTGCCCAAAAGTTGAATTACAGCTTGATTGATCACGTAACGTTACGGCAAGTAGCCAAAATAGAAGGATGAGGAGAATCTTATCGGGAGTACACAGATCACATAACATGAATCAAGTTAAAAAAAGGATCATTTTTAAAAATGAGTAAGTAATAAAATAATGGTTCTGCGGAAAACAACGCTGTCAGTGAATTTCTCTTTTCTCATTGCGATCATCAGGTTTAGCCTTAATGAACTAACCTGAGAGGAATAATTGATATCTATATATATGATTTTTGACATGGAAGCTTTTGTGCATTCATGTTCTCTGACAGTTAGGATTTGGAATATAAGCGTCGTCGTGATAATCACGAAGGCGACATTTAACCTTGGGAAAATAATTTTTGCTTTCGTTGACATGGGCACGTTAAGATTTCGTATTCCTTCCTTTTGCTCTTGAATTTTCCACTCCGTCTTCGGGTCACATCCTCGAAATGTATCAGAAAATAAAATGGCCCATTAACACATAGGTTTGCTAAAGAATGAAAGTGGACATTACTCTCTGCGGCCAGGCTCATCTTTCTAAAGAAAAAAAAAACAACAGAAGGTTAATTTGCAATTTACACACTTTTCTTATTTCCTGCGAAGCTTCCCAAAGGTGAAGCTTTTAAACTGCTTGAATTACCTTTTGCGTCTTTATATTGGAAGTGATACGATCATTGCTATTCTCATATCTCCAAATATTTAGTTATTGAACGTAGCAACGGAAATATACAAACCTTAGTCGAAAGGGAAGAGTCCAATTTTCAAGTCAGTATTGTTACAAAACACAGAGGCCTTCTTAACCTCACTCAATTGTATTTTTGTAATTTTGACAGCCACTTGGCTCGGTTAAAAATCTCCCTGACATGTAAAGGACCACCAAAAAGTGGATTTTGTTTGAGTTAAGATGATGCAACCTCCACCTTAATCATCTCCATGATATGAATGAATCATTTTTAGAGACACTATTCCCAAAAGTAGTGTCTGTTAACTTTCACTGGTCGTTCCCCTTTGATTCATCGTATGTACCTAAGAGATGATTTCTAAATTTTTTTTTTTACATGGACGACTTATTAAACGAATCATTCGGGGCTTACTTGCTTTAATCCTTTTCTACAGGTTGCCTACTGTCTGTCAGGTGCCACGCATACATATACTTCCACCCCAAGGAGCGATGGGACAAAGTTCACCTGCATTAGGGCACGAACATCTCAGAGCTTATTCTTCCTTTGCTCGTCGTGTCGCAAGGAGTCCCCAGAGGGTAAAATTGCTGCGTTTCACTGAAGGTAAAATTTATGGGGTTAGAGCTTTTATAGTCAGTGATTTTCTTAGCGACGAGATTCTTCGTATAACTTCTCTTTAAATTTCTGATTTGCATTTAAACTTAACATGTTAGTACAATCTGATAAGAATGTTGTGCGTGACAAGCATCGACCAGTCCAAGGTATCGTTTAAGACCTTTAGATTCTCGTAAGAAAAAGAGTAAAAGACCCAGTTTTTCCGTCTGAAGACCAGAACGCGCGCGTGAAGCAGCCTCATTTTCTTGAGAGAAAAATGTGATACAAATATCCGCCATAATTTTGGCAGTTTGTTTTTCTAGAAAGTAAATAGTGAAAATGCATGAATATGGAGACAGAACTTTGAATTTTACTCATTATCTCTGCTCAATAATATAATATAACAAATTTTTGTCCTTCATTAGATATGTATAGTTCATAAAATCGTTGCTCATAACGCATATAAAGCAGAGGAAAAGTGAAAAAAAAATATACACAAATACAAAACACAAAGAACACACCATTTTAGAACAGTGTCAGCGAAGGTAGTGATAGAAATACGACCGAAAGAGTATTTCAGCAGTTCCTTTGAATTTTTTGGGCTAGAAAGTCATTACTGACTTCTGATTTGTCATTCCTGCTTAATATGCTATGGCAGATGAAACTAAATTTCGAGGTTACCTAGAAATTTCTTATAAGTTAATCTAAATTTACAAAGTAATCGGAGAGGCATGGATTTGAGTTTGAGAAATAGAAGAATTTTAATATTGAATCATGTATTTACGTTTCGCGCATTAACGTTTCTTTTGTTTTCAATGATTGTTTATCGTAACAATTGTTTGTTATGGATTTTGTAACGAACAATTGTTTGTTACAGATTTTTCATCGCGTGATTGGTGATGATATATCATGTGACACGTTAATGACCAGTGTGACTAACACTCCTTCACTATACATGGCCGAAACTAAGAACGCAGGGAAAAAAGTAGTTTTGGACTTTATGGGCGGCTTGCTGTTTCATAAATACCAGCCGAATCATATAGGATCAAAAATTGTAGAAATCCCCTTTTAAAAATGCTGGACTTATCCTCGTGTGTATGCAGCCTACCATCGTGTTTATATAGCTCTATAACCGTTACATATAAAAGATGGTGTGTCATTAATAGAGGAAATCTCTTTTGGAAAATAGTGGTCCTATCATTATGGTCAATAGTGTGTATCCTACCGCTGTGCTTATATAGTGCATATATCAGTCAAATACAGTCACTTACGCGTGTGGCCGTCTCGTTCCTTCTTTCTTTGTTGATATAGATTTTCTTCTACCATAATTGGATTTCAAGTGATGGCGTCCATTAAAGTAGCAGCAGTCGCGTTGAGCTGTTTCCTTCACTACACCCTAACTGCCTGCCGTAAGTCACCCTAGCCAATCATGATGCACGTTTTCAGTTTGGAGCTAAGGAAAATAAAAAACAAAAATATGTGTAACAAATGCATAGGGACCCAGAATCTTCAAGCAGTTATGCTGCATGGATATCTGAAACCCTCGGTTCGAGTATCGTTAAGGGAGACAAAGTGGCTGGAATCCTGGTCTAGAAATTTGGTATTGAGTATTGGTTGGGTCATTGTTTTTAATCACAATCGGCGAATAATGTCGCAATCTGAGTGGCCAATTCGCTGTTTTCGATTAGAGCACAGAAAACAGTGCTCGCGTCAACGTGTCAAGCAATGCCTTTATCAGGTCTAAAATACGGATGAATCGGAAATCTTGACTTGTGGTAAAAAACAAATCGTCGATGGGTTAACGTGCTCTGTACTCAAAATCTGTAGCGGACTCACTCGGGGCTGCGCCTCTTAAATCCACAACATTTTGACCACTGTGATAACGAATATCAGTCATTGCTCGTTAGGAGTATCAACCACCGTAAACCACGGTTGATCTGTTGAATGTTGTTGGGCAAGACGCTGCCGGGGAGTGTAAATGAGTACCGCCAAAATGTAAGGGAGACCTGGGGCCCGTTTCTCGAAAGTTCCGGTAACTTAACGGGCCCGTAAAGGTGTTCTGTTTTCATTCAAGATGGGGATTTCAAAGTTTTCAAAATGATTCAATAAAACTATCAGCTAAAGAGACAAAAAGGAATGGTTTGGGTGCCAGAACCTGCTTTACTATCCTTTAAATTTTTATTTTAAAACGTGGCTTCGGGCCCGTTAAGTTACCGGGACTTTCGACAAACGGACCCCTGACCTGATGTTGGCGAGATGCAATAGACTGGCATCCCATCCAGGGGAAATTATCTCAAAAACGGTGAATTCCTTTACGGCACAGGAAGAAGCGAGGGAAAACTTTCGAGTACGTAAAATGTACTCAGAAATTGACACCATGCAGGTAGCTAGAGAACGAGAGAAAAGCCTTAAATATTTTTCTTTTTGTCTAGTTCATACAGATACAAAGTTTACAAAGAAACCAGAAAATACGTTGTTGGTTGACTTGGGATCCAATGCAACTTTCCAATGGGAATGTAACTTCGGCAACGAGGAAGACTGGACCAACTTTGAACAAGTCTTTTGGGGAGGCGAGACCGACAAATATGGAAACATTGGCAACAAATTCCTCACGATTGATAACAGTGAAAAGGTGTGGACCAACCCAAAACTACCCGATTCGGTCCGCTCCAGAGCTATGTGGTCCGGAACAGTCAGCCGAAACAGCTGTCAGCTGGTTTTCCGCTTGAGAAATGCGATTGTCTCAGATGACGGCACGTATGGTTGTATAGGGGTAGTGTATGGGGAGACTTTCAAAAGCAGTCCAGTAAGACTTGTCGTCTTAGGTAGGTGCCTGCAGGATATCAGTTCTCGAAAACTTATTATTGCCAACATCTTCAGCCCTGGGAGTCGAGAGTATCATTATGGGAGCAAAGTGCCTGGACCTCTTGAAACGGAGTCCAATCTAACTAACAAATTTGTCCGAGTCTAACATTTTCATGGCCGGTACTTACAGTTCGTTTCTCTGGATATCAGTCACAGTTAAGTCAGCTTTTACTTAGGTTATTTAGGGAAAACTTTATGATTATCCCATCGGAAGTATGGAATTTTCTCTTCAGAAATAGTACGTTCATGTTTACAGAACAACCAAAACTCGTCAGCCAATCTAACCGGACCATAGATGTTGAAGAAGGAGAACCGGTAACACTAAATTGCAAAGTAACTGGGAACCCTGTGCCGAGTATAATGTGGATGCACAATGGTAGGATATTGCCCCAAAAAGCCTCAGTGCTCAAAATATCAAAGATTCAGCTCAGCCAAGCTGGTATCTATAACTGTACGGCCACGAACCAAGCTGGTAACGTGTCGGAAAGTTTCGTAGTCAACATCGTGAGGTGTAAGTAAAACAACAAGTTTTGTCATTGCTGTTGTTCAGAAAGCTAATTAACAGGTTGGACAGTCCTTTCTGCATATTACATTGTTTTAACTCGGGTATGTTTGATGAGCGCCCCCATCTCAACCAAGTAATGGACCCTGTGTCACGTGAGGGTTATTGGTTCTCGTTTATGCTCCTAAAAACACCCATCCACAATTTTCCAATTCGCCTCGGAATCCGAGGAGGTAGAGCCATCTTGTCCACTAATCCTACTTTATTTATCATTTACTAGATAAACCTTACAAAGACCAGAGCGCTAGTTCAAAATCTCTTGTCCAAACAAAAATTCGTCAACAGACTATCCTGACATGCGCAGTTGATGCCAAACCTCCGGCAGAGTTCTTTTGGCGGAAACTAGGTAAGATCACAGCTGGTGTGAACTCTACAGAAAACCTAAGTACACTGACATTCACGCCTAAAGACAACGACGACTTTGGATTCTACTTTTGCTATGCTGGAAACAAATTCGGAATAACAACTATTACTTTTAAGGTGAAGACATAGTGCGTTTGTCCATTTGGATTCAGAGCAGAGCAGGCATATTTGCAGGGAGTACCAAAACATCTAAATTTCGGTATGCCACTAAACCAGTGATGTGTGATTTGAGCTATTTACTCTGGGACCAGTCATTATTAATCCTCGTTATTCATTGTTGTGTTGCAGTAAAGTTTACCTGATCCCCCACGAGGCAATGCAATATTCTAGTGGTCCTTCCTCCTCATGGGTAGTTTTTGGTAGTCAATTTTCTCAAGTCCCCCCCTTTATAATTCAGTTGAGGACGAGTGATTACCCCTTCTTCACCCCTGAAAACCTTGGGATCCCTCCAAAATTTTCCCCCACTTACCAAGGAGATGAATAATGACTGCCTATTTGTCTAAATTTTTTTCCCTGTAAGGAAAAAAAACAAAAACAAAAACAAAAACAAAAAAAACAAAAAAGTAGCACCAAGAATGAAAACCAGTTAATAACAGACTACTGCCATAAGAATTAAAGTGCTCTTATTAATTGAGCTGGGCGGTTCGTGTTAAACAGGTGCATCATATTATTTCAAATCAAAATCTTATCTTACTGTTTTCAATTTTTTTGCGTTTCTCAAAGAAGCGCTTAGATAATATACAGCTGCTTTGCTTTCATTGTAGACCAGCTGCTGATAAACGAAACCCCCTTGCATTGTTAAGCAACATTTGATTATAACTTGACAAACCGTATTTCCACGGCAAATTTTCAACGACAATCTTAATTTTTGCTTTGGGTGACGTAAGCCAACTCTTGGCTCGGTCACATCTATAGAATGATAAGAACTTTAATAATAAGAACTTCAAGTCTTTTCTTAGATATTCAAAGTTTTGCGAATGGTTTAAAACAAGTGGGAAAAAGGGAAAAAATTGCTGTGGCTTTTATTTTTTTATGAAATAAAAACGAACCAGGACATGGGAATGAAAACCACTCACAATAGCTCGCTTACTTTGATGCATATTGAGTACGAATTGATCTTTGTTTGGTATTATGTAAAGTTTTTTAACTTCCAAGCTAGATAAATGAATATGCCTTGCATGAAATGCGAGCATACAATTTAACCAGTTTCAGTAATGTAGAACAAGCAACCTGTGACAGTGATCTTTAAATGCTACCATAATGAAGTGTTTGATATGGCAAATATAACCTCATATTGTGATGTGTGTAAGTTTGATAAATGGTACTTTGTAGTTGCCTAGCCATTTTCCAATGTAATCTATTGCATAACTTGCACTTGTTGCAAAAAGATGTACATCGGCGAAACAGGCAGAAGACTAGGTGACCGATTCCGAGAACACCTTCGAGACGTGGAACGGAATAACAAGGACACATCGAAACCAGTCGCTAGACATTTTAATTTACCTAATCATTCTAAGCAACATATGGCAATCTGCGGTCTTTCCTTACACATAGGTAGCACGGAAAGCCGTAAAAATCTTGAACAAAAGCTCATCTTTCAAACCGGCAGTCTAAATCCCACAGGGATCAACGAACGCTTTTCATTCCACGAATTTATTCTTGTTTTTCTCGTTGCCAAGTTTCCACCAATAACGTAGCTCCATTTTCTGCCTTTAAAAGCACACACAACCCACAATTCCTCTATTCCCTCCGAAGAAGGGCTGACGCTCGAAATGTCAGCTTTTGTAATCGTTACGGTGGCCAGTTTACCATTTCAACTTTGTTGAGATATCCAAATTAAAAGATGATTGGCTGCAGTTTGCTACGTTCCTTCGCACCTTATTTCTCCACTCCCCCTGAATCAAGCATGAAGGTCATGAGAATAAAGCAAATGAACAATCGAAGCTTTCGATTTAAAAGAAAAAAATCTCCTGATCAGCACCTTCTGAAATGTATAGAGAACAGTATGAAGAATACGCAACTGACTTTAAGGTTAAATGTTTCCTAGGTAGGGGCTAGCTATCCCAAGTATTAGGTCTTAACATGTCATGTGCTCTCCAAGCAAAAAGATAACATTAGGGCCAATATTGACCACTTTCCTAAATGGCTGCCGCATTGATATTCTTCTGTTTAAATTTAAATTAGCCTTTCTGGCCTCGTTCTCCAGTTCAAAATTCAAAAGAATGCATTATCTCAAGCGAGGCTGGCGAGGCTAATTTGAACTCAAACAAAAGAATATCAATCCGGCAGCCATTTATGAAAGTGGTGTCTAAGACCCAGGTCCCAGAGATATCTGCCAGGTCGGCCTGGTTAAGATAATTTTGCACTGATAAATCGCTACATTTAGCTCGTATAAAAGAATAGGGTAAACTGTACATGTATGAGTGCATTTGAAAAAGGGACAAAATGATTTGAGCAAGTAAAGATATCTATGGTAATTGAGCCACGCAGGTGAAGCGAATTATGAGATGCACTAAAGCCAAAAGCTTGTGAGCGACCTCGCGTATAAGGCTAGTAGAATGTTATTTTGATAATTCTCGGTTCTCATTTGCTGTCGGACTCAACGTCCCGTGCAAAAAATGTCCCGTGAAAAATATGTCCCTCTCCTTTCTAACCACGACTAGACCATGCCTAGACATATACACAATCGAGCTCCTTCACTAATCCCCCTGGGAATAGTCGACAGCTTTGGCATCAATTACGTCTGTAAGAACTGATAAACTGAGAGAACAACAACATCATTGATAAATAACAACTGAGACAGATCACATTACACTGATCGAATCTTATATAATCTTTCTTTTCTTTTTTTTTTTATTTTAAGTGTAGCTGTCTTCTAAATTTGTCTGAACTGAGCTGTATCTTTCCGGCTGTGAGGGCGTTCTAATACAATAACTACACATAATCAGGGATTAAGGCGCATTCATTTTAGTCTACAGTTTTATTCGGATCTATATCTTTCCGGCCGGAGAGGATTTCATTGACGATAATAACATGTTTCTGATAAATTTGTTATCCTCTGTCTGAGAGAGAAATAACTTGTGTTCTTCTCGACACTTCCTTGGGTTTCCTAACAGAAATTATTGCGCAACCAGAAATAGTTTGTTCTGTGGCTATTTTTGGTGGTCACGCACGCCATATAGTGCGTAATGAAGTCTTAACATCATATTCTTTTGAGTGAGAACAATGCTAGCCATGCATCGACTGATTTTAAATCAACCCCCCTTTCCCGGGCGGTAATCCACAACATGCGCCAAATCTCTGTGAGAATTCCTCATTCCGACAGCGCTCGGTTCAAGAACGTTTTTGGCCGGACGAGTCAGACATTTTATCGTAACTTAAAGCAACCATTACAACAACAACCGCATCAACGATGATGACAACAACAAAAATACACCTCGCGAATACCTGTGATGACTCATTACTACGCGTGTGGCACATGTCACCAACTTGGAGTTTTGGTTCCTCGAAGAAAAAGACTACCACTGGCATGAACTCTCTTCAATCACTCTGAAACGGAGTCACTTTTCATATCCACGTCACTAAAATCTCATAAATACATATCTTGTTAATATTCCCCCCTTTTTTTTACGATCGATAAATTCGTGTGCAACCGAAAGATCTCTATTATTGTGCAGACAAGTAAAGGAACGTGCGATAATCAAAAATAATTTTCAGGTCAAGTGTAGAGAATCATTGCAACAACGAGGTTGACACTTAAGCAAAGAAAGCGTTTCCTAGAATTGCAAGCTACAATAAACCCCACATGCCAAACGAAAGGAAAAACTGGATTTGTTGGGTTTATCTAGGGACTAACAGGCTTACTGCCAGCTCTCGAAGTAAACTCGTGAGGTTCTCTAACATAACAAAACTTTAAATGCTAAGCCGTTAATTAATGTTCGGCTTTATGCTCTGGCTACTTTGATCAATGCCTTGAGGACATCAGTATAAAATAGAAACAAATTGCATTAGTGGATTTAAAAAATACGCGTTCCGAAACCCGTAAACTTAATATTTTCTTGGTGTAAATCGCGGAGGTCTGTGTTTGTCTTTCGGAAATGTGTTGTCGGATGATGATGACGCTGGTATTGTTCACGGGCACAAAAAAGCCCACCCAAGTTAGAATTGGGATACAGGTATATTAATTGTTGAAACAGGGTGACAAAAGTATACGAAAAACCCCAGGGGATGCACTGGGATGGGGTGAGGGCGGAATGGGGGGCGGGGGCAGGGAGGAAACAACGTAATTACTACACACTAAATTTTCTAAGACCGAATCGAGCTGGCTACGCAGAAAGGTCCTTACTTGTTGACAACAAGATTGAAAAGGAATAGAGGTCTGAGAGAAATCTGTGAGGTACTAGCTTTCGTAATAAGCGACGCCAACTTAGTTAGGAACCAAGAAACAAGTAGAGGAATGTCTAAATTAAAATAAATGAATGAATGAAATAAGCGAGTAGACTAAAGAACGAACTACCGAGCGAACGAACCAATGAATACAGGGCTAATGAATGGATGGATTCACGAATGGATAAATGAACGATCGATGCATATCCAGGATCAGTGATGTCGGGCATGTCTCTGAGGTCCCGGATGAGGTAAGATACCTATCACGTGCGCTAGAGTAAAACGCGTAGTTACAATTTCAGCATAAAAGAACAAACGCAGCACAAGTGACCCTGGCCTTGATTTATTTTGAGCAATAACGTTTTGCAAAACAGCGCTTCGCAACAGGCGTCCTTGATAAGCAAAATTCTACACAACAGTCAAATTCCTTGTTCCAGTGCCAACGACTGAAGCCTCAAGTAAAGATATTAGTTGTTTTCGGTGACGTGTATGCCAAGTCGCACGTACTAATACCTGGGTAAATACTTCCTGCGCCAGAATCTCCTTGTTCCTCTTGCCGAGTGAGAGTGTTTCCTTTTCAAGCCTTGTGACTTACACAGCGAATTCAATCTCCATTTGCGAGAATCCGTCGTCGAACTTCCCGCCGAGCTTGTCAATAGATTTTATCGCTTATCCCTCTTGAATGCAAAACATCTCACACATGAAGATAAGCATCATGAAGAAACTCGCTTTCAATTACAGCAGACGTCTATTTTGTTCGCTCTCTTACGACGGTATAGTCCAAGAAACACGCGATCACCAAACAAACTTTTCACCCATCCTCGATACCTAAAGCTTTTGATTCGATAGTCGCGTCATGCTTTTTTTTTAAGTATTTTAATCTGATGCTTCCGCAAAGCCGTGCTATTTACCTTGAAGATCAGTTAATGTCGGATGCCAAGGTTGAAAAACGTTAGGTTGAAGGTTGGAGGGATAACAATAATTTAGATTAATCCCCGTGGGTCTGTTCATGTTAGTAATCTATTATGTTCTTAGTATTGAAAAGGTACCAGGCAATCAAAAAAATCAAGTATAAAAGATAAATTGTTAATTTTTCCTGCGGAAATGCTGTCGGTAAAAGGATCCATTTGCGTTTCAGACGACTGCGCATGTTTCCGACTTTGTTTATTGTAATATGATAAGGCCCCGCCTCCAACAACTCCCACAAATACTCACGCGCCATCCTTTCAACAACACACTGTGAATTTGGCCTTGGTCGTTAATGATCGATTCTGTACCAAAAATCCGGCTTCTCCTTCCTCATATTAAAACCCAGGACAAAAAGAAAGCCTCTAGTTGTTCTAGGATTTCGTTTCGGGTAAAACTTTTGCTTCTGTGCGACAAGCGAAGGCGTAACGTGGCTGCCTTTCGATCAACGAGGAAACATCAACAATAAGGAACTTTTTCTGTAAAGCTAACTCGAAAAGGTAAGATGTCTAGACAATTTTTATGCCTTAAATGTTAGGTTTGTTTACGAATTGAAGAAGGCTCATTTGAAAACACTGTCTGGTAGGAAAGCATTGCCTAAGATCTGTTTTTCGAGTGCTCAATATGTGATGGCATGCCGTTTGCATGACCTCCATTACTGCCCTCGAGGATATAGTCATTGAAATCAATTAAGACCGTTCTAGAAAATATGATGTTTGGGAGGTCGTTATGCAGCTATGATATTATCGGTTAAGCTTTGGACATGAAGCAGCGTTGCTAAAATGCGCATATCAATCGGATAAAAGACAGCCTTCAGGCTTTCTAAAATGAATGTAAACGGAGCCCAGCCAAGTAAGCGAACAAAAGATAGCTTGAAGTCTGTAAACGTGTTGCATGACTTTTGCGTACGAGTCGTGAATAGCGGTAAATTAACTCGTTGGCTGAGTCAGGAGTGAAAGGCAACAACAATAAAGAGTTAGAAGGAATTTGCTGCTCATTTTCAAAACAGAGATACATAAAATAGCGCTAGTTAGGAGAAGGACTTTATTCCTGAAATACCGGAAATCAATGTTATATAAGCAAATGAATACGAGTAAAACTGGTTTTTCAAGGCAATCTGGTTATAACTGACATGATTTCCAAGGGGGGGAGGGTGGGAAGGAATAAGGCGAGAGCCTTATGCCTTCTTCAAGCTCCTCTATGCAGTGTTTTTCACTACCTAAATCTTTCAGCCGTGCTTACATACGTCAAAATCACACGAACACAAAAACTTGTGTGTGCCACAACTATGCACATTGCGAAAGGACGATTCTTGTGTGATTGACGTCTGATGGGACTTGTTCCCCTTCTCATCCCAATTTTCTAGGGAACGAAGCGAAGTGTTTCGAATGGCATTTCACGCTCACGAGGCAAATTTCTAAAAAAAGGAACATTTTTCCGCCAGTCTCTCTTTGTGTTGTCATTGCAATCGAGGTACAAGCGCGCAATTCTAGTTCAGGACGACCATGAAATCCGCTCCAAACCACTTTCTTTTCCTGGTACACAGGATCAACCGGTTTGACGAGAATCTTGGATTGAATTTTTGCATGAAGAAAAAGCAAATCATGTTTTCTGCGGGTTTTCTGTAAAAATGGGAAACCTTTCTTTGTTAAAGAAATTATTTAAGATACTTGTCTAAAGTACAAACGAGAAATAAAAATGGTATTAAAACTCTGAGGTACAGCAAATTAGATAACAAAGAATTAACTCGAGTGAAACGAAAGAGAGGACATTTTAGGGTGGGGTTCAGGAAGAGTCCATTCCTTTTCCTTTTATTTTGTATTTACAGCAATTAAATCTTTTGTAGAGCTCGAGGCGGCTTCACTTGCATTGCAGATGAGCGACCTTGCTTTTCGGGATGCTTTTGAAAAACAGCTATGTATACAGATAAGGAATAATTTAGTCTACACAAAGCGTTATCGATTCTTTGTAGTTACTAAACTTGCACGCTATAACAGTTCTGGAAAGAGTAACTGCGTTAGAACAATGGTAAAAGGTTTGCGTGTGTCAACCAGAGACCTCCAGCTAGGAAAAGTGTTGGTATATCGGTTTTTTTTTTTCCCTTTTTTGTCACCGCCAGTTGTTGTTTTTTTTTTTTTTGTTTCTTTTACTCTGGAATTCGTACGGGAAAAAGACATTAACAAACACAAAAACAAACGTAAGGCTCAATTGGTAGGATGTATTTTTTTTGTAGTAGTTTCTTTGTGTGAATAGTTCACTGATTTTGGTCCGCAGTCTAATTTTTTCCCCTTTTCCTCGCCCTGAAAAAGCACACGAGACCCCGCCATTAGTATATAGTTATTAGAATTAAGATTCTCAAACCACGGACAAGTGACAAACGTGCGTCGAGATAAAAAAGAAGGAATTTAGTTTTATCTGAAACATGAAGCCTGACTTCTCTATTATTATCCTATATCGCAATACCCTGTCATCGATGAATTGACGTCTTCCACCCTTTTGCCATCCGCGGAATTTAGCTAATTAAGTACTTTTTCACATTTTAAGAGCATTTCTTGCCTGATTCATGACTTTTCCAAAATGTCAGGAGTCGTTTTCGCTCGATGAATCAGGTCACCAAATCATGCTGTTTTTTTTTTTTTTTCAGTTATAAGGTCCTAACCTAACCAAGAACTTTCCAACATGCTGCGTTTTAGTAAAGTTGATTTCGTAATTTGACCTTCAATTGTGATTTAGTGTCGTTCAGTAGCGGCTTTCAACGCTAACGATCTTGCGTGGGATGAATTAAGATCAACATATTGTGACGAGAGCGCAGCAGATGCACTTGGTAGAGTAGGAGCCAATAACAATATTGTCTAACATGCGTAAATGCATTTGCTAAGCCAGAGATAGCTATAAATGGTCACTGCCCGCCTGCGAAATGATTTGGGCTATTCAATACGTTTACAAGTAATATTACTCCCGCATTAAGATATACGGTTTCCATAAAGTTCCGCTGAGGTTAAGTACGGTATGAGAGAACCAAAAGTACTATTGCAAGACCGTGCATAATGTTTTTTCTTTCCTTTTCTGAGATCTATTGTCAAAATTGCATCATCATCGTCTTGAATGAATTTTGACACCGTTACTGCGACCACATTTAAATCAAGGGATGACAAAGCTGTCTTCGGTTAACCAGGAAAGTCATCACAAGTGCAATTGCGAAAAAAAAAAACCGAAACTTGTTGCTGTCATTGTAATAGCTTAGTTGTAAAAACCAAGCCATTAATTAGGAAGTAACATTTCCGATTGTGGGTTTTCACCTCCAAGATCGCCATGACGAAGCAAAAAATGGCATAAAGAACCCTTTCCGACCAACGTCACAGTACAGAGGTATAGGGTTTTATCAACTTGAAATGATGACAGTTCGTATTCGTTGTCAAAGTGTTAAGGGATTCAACACATGACAAACAACAAAAAGGACGAACGTACATGAATGGCGATCAAAACAGTTTGAAAGCAAAACAATTTATCACTGAGATTTGATTTATTTTCAAATTCATCCCACTTCTGACATTTTTTTTTCGGAAAAGGTAAGCTTTAATGATTGTACATTTGCTAACAATAGTCTTGACTTGCATTCACTTTTGATGAATGACAGGTGTGACGTCAAATAGCAAAGTCTTTGAATGAAAAAACAACCAAAAAAGTTAGACTGTTTTTTTTTTCTATGAGGCCAAAAAAATGCCCTAAATAGCGTGCAATAATAGACAGTTGATAAGTGCAGAAAAAAATGAGGAAGTGGGCATGTTAGTTTTAAGCAATTTCAGGGCAAGAAATATCTGGGGTCATTGTCCATGACGGTGTTGGTCAAAACGCTTTCTCGAGAAAGGTGAATAAATTGAGTGCTTCGAGTTTTCGTCAGTTTGGGAGGATTTACAAGCTCCTTAGTCCTAATCATGTATTTCTAATAAGGTTTTTTTCTACGTTATCCATATCTTGACCTAAAAGTCTATCTGTATTCTTGTTTAAACGTTTTTGCTGACGTTTACAAGCTTGGCTACAACCGTATTAAGATTCCTTCAAAAATTCTTGATTTTGTCGTAACTGTCGAATGCAAATAAACGTTGCAAGTGGTCGGACCAAAGGACTGCCTTGGAAATCAGTTGACATTTGCACACTAACAAAGGTTGATAAAACTAAAAGTGTGGCAAGCTGATAGCACGTGTAATACGACCGATTTAGGTATGATAAAAGAATGAGAAACAAAGCAACAAAAACAACAAAACAGGAAAAAAAAGAGAGAAAA